ACAATGTTTCATAGCTTTGAAGGAGACAGGACTATTCCTAAATATTTAAGAGATCTGTGGAAAAACGAAATAGGAATATGGAGAAGGGAAATCTGAAAAATAAAGTGGAAAAGGAAAGAGAGATAGAAAGCACCTGAAGGGCAGAATAGCAAGTGGAATTGGGAGGGTCAAGGAAGAAGGAGCTGGACTTCAGGAGAAAAAGCAAGACCACACTTGGAGACCTTTTGAAGGAGCAGAAGACTAATAAGCAAAAAAACAACAAAGATGACAGAAGATGTTTATAAGGAATGACAATATTAAGTGAAGGAGGATGCAAAGTGGGGAAGTTATGTCAAAGGAAAAGTAGGATCCAAGCTTACAGGTAACAGTTGAAATAAAAATGCATATGGGTAAAAAGCACAGCAGTACTCCTTCACCCTACTGTTGGATTAGCAAGAGGAGATACTCATATCAGCTTTTGTCCTCCTTCCAGCTGAAGCAGTAGTAGTAAGAACAAAGCAAAAGTAAACCATGCTGGTTATGGACGTTTATATCCTTTGTGTGTGTGTGGTGATTTGTGTACTAGCTGGCACCCCCAGCACCCTGGGATGGAGACTGTCCCTGGACCTGGCGCAGAGACCCCTGGGCTCAGTGCAGGGGTTTATCAGGAGGCTTTGCTGAGTCCCTGTTACAGGGAGGCCTGGTTAACGTAAGGAGAAAATGAAGCGTTAGAGAAACCTTAAAACTTGTGTAGGTATGAGTATCTTCGGGGTGGGGGGGTGTGTGTTTGAAATTGATTGCCTATATTTATAAACGAGAAGGGGTCCAGAATTCTACAAAGTGAAATTTTCATATGAAGTTATTGAAATCTGTATGTTTCTATGCAAATTTCTTGCATGAGTAATTGTAAAACTCGAGTCTGCAATGCATTTTACTAGGTAAGATACTGCAAATCACTAAGAAGCTAGCTTTTATTAGTGAAAATTGTGTAAAACGTTGCATTTATTCATCGTTTTCTGCATGTGAAACTGTTCTTAGACTTGGAAAATATTTTTCCTTATCACTTTTAATTTGAATTTGAAAATTCACCTTTTATTTTTTTGCATTTATAAATGGCTCAGTTTGGACTAAGTCCTTGAGGCCATGCTGAGACAAAAGATACTGTATTGTTATTTGTTTATTAACAGTAGTTCAAACTAAAAGCAGGAAGGGGATTAAACTATTTTACAGCTACATTTTCATATCTAACCTGGGTTAGTTGATGTTACAAGTACATTTTATATAAGACCCATCTGGGCACTTCTTGTTACAGACATGGTTATAATGGGTGGGAATGAATTTGCTAAGCTTTCAGATATCTTATGTGCCTCTGAGGACTGCCCATTAATAATATTAATATATAGGTATTTTCCACTGTTGTATGCAAGGCATTTCTTAGAACTTTGAAGCTAAAGTCTTTTTTTAACACACGGACCTTTTCAATTTAATCCATTAGCAACTTGGCAAAATAAAGTAATTGTCCAACAGAGGAAGAAAAAAAAAATCTATTAACATTTGCTACAAATCCAAGTAGTACAGGCAGCACTTAATTAATGGAACAGATTTCTCACTATGTATTCAAGCTAACATAGCTATTGTTCAGGAGAGATTAGACCCTTAATGTAAGTAAGTTAAACTAGACCTCCATCTAAAAATATCCGTCATTTCAGCTATTAAAGGTCTGATGTCTTCTTCGGTGACAGATATATTTCCCTTCATTTCCTTGGTTTTGTGAAATGTAAAGTATGCATTGTATGTAACGCGAGAAATCTGTGGAGGTAGATGAAACCCTGATTGTGCCTCCCCGCCTGTCTCTCCCTGCCTGCTCCTTTGTGCTGCTCCCTATCAGAGAGCCTCTTCAGCCCTTAGACCTCCTGGCACCAGAGCAGAAAACCAGAAAATGCCATTTGTTAGGGTATGATGCCAGCCACCTAATCTGTTTGCAGAATGAGGGCCATGGGATCTGATTAGGTAATTTAGATACCTTATGAATTTAATAATGAGCTGCCTTTGGCTGTCAGCCTGTTGTTTCACTGGTAGGAACTACCGCATTCTTCTATTTCTTCTGTAAACTTCTTACCTGTATTACCTTATTTGAGTCCAAATAGGTGTTAAGGGCTGCAGATGAGGTATATCTTTACTTTTCCATATGGGGAAGTTAGTGTTAGGGTGGAGGAGGTGAGATTGCTCAGTTTTAAGTACACTTTTCCCGGTACAGTTCCGCACGCAGCATATCCTTTTTTTCTTGAAAGTGAAATTTTTCAAATGTGAGGTTGTTTAAATGCCTAAGGTGGTGAACCAAGTTTCAGATGGGTTGGGCCATCCAGGTGCTCACTGATGTCATCAGCAGTTTTTGAAGCTCAGTTTATCCAAAGTGATTATTTCATCCTCATGGCTGGGATTTCCCTACTTGCTGATGCAGTCGAGTGTTGCTCTGGGGCAAGGGGCTGACCTGCCCAGGGGGCATCGCTGCCCTGCGCGGCTGCAGGCAAGGGTTTGCAGGAGCAGCTGAGGTGCGGATACCCGCAAGCGAAAATTTTGGCTGCAATTTTAATGCCACGTCTCCTCCCTTCCTCTCTCCTTTCCGTCAATTAGCATTTTTTGGAAATCGGAGTCTCACAAAGCCTACTAACATAAATAGAAGTGTTTTAGGATTTGTTTACTTTAATTAATTTAAAGTGTGTCTTTCTGAAAGGATTTAGTTAAACATCTTTCTTAAACAGCAATGTGCCAGTAACAGCAACATTAGTAATAGTAATAAGACCCAGAAAGGGAAACCAACTAGAAAGCAAAACGACGTGGTTTTTTATCCAAAAAATAACTGGTCCTCCCGGGAAAGTGGAGGAAACCCTGTTCAGGGCCACTTACAATAAAGCTGGTCAAAACAGCAGAAAACATACAATGTGAAATAAATCCTGCAAAGGTAGAGAGCAGGACTGCATGAGATCGCTCTTTTTGCTGTTTTTATTTTGTTTTCATAAATTTTTTTTCTGTTGCTTTTTTTTTCTCATGCAGCACCCAAGATGTTCTCAGAGCTTTCCAAATAGGAAATACGCTGCTTTTCATAGAATGATAAATTATTTCTCTTAATGAAGATGGAGTGATTGTAAGGCTAATGACATTAATGGGGTTTATATGAAAGCATACAATTAGAAATCCAAAACAGCTGCATCAAACATGAATATACAATGTAATAAAACCATAATAAGTATGTGGTCAGGCCACACTGTAGTATCTAGTTTGATTAAGTGAACCTTACACATGCAAAGAATAGTCGTTATCAGACTTCTCACCCATCAAGGAAAAAGTCTCAAATTGTTTTCACAATTAAATAATCATTACTTTTTTTTGTATTCTGCTATCTGAAAAGAGAAAACTGCTGCTGCCTTGACTGTGAAATACAAGGTCTTGCAGAACTATGCAAAGTTGATTCAGCTTGATGTTTGACTTAGTGTAAATGGTAGCTTCTGTAGTTATATACATAATGTGTTGCTTTGCTCTTGTGCTCTTGCATTTTTTTGAAAAAAGCAAGAGCCCTCTGTCTCCAAAAGCCTCCCCATGGCTGGGCTGTGGGGCATTAGGGCTGTTGTACAACCTCTGGTTATGAAATGGCAAATTGGCAGTTTCCTGGTTTTGCTTCAACACTTCCTTGTTTCCCCCCTTCCCTTTGCCGTGCGGTGGGGATGCCACTTGGAACAATTTGCTACCTGACACAGCAAGATGAGAAGGTGGGCTCTGGTGCTGCTTCCCCCTGCAATCAGCTGTAAGTGCCTCTAGATGTGTCTGTGCTGGAGCAAATCACCTGTGCCTGTAGACCGCCTGTCTCCAGTAAATCATAAGCATCTCAATCTTTTTGTCAGGCTGTGATATGAGAATCCGCATCTGAATTTCAGTATGAGGCGAGAGAAGCTGATTAAGTGTTTGAGATAAGGTTATGTGACACCACAGGTTAAAAATACCTGAACTGAATTTGGCCAAATGCCTGAGAACCACATTGCACTGTATTCAGGTGGTGCTGAATAAGCTCCCAAGGAGTTTGCTGTTTTTGCTTTAAGAAAGCAGTGCTTCAGGAGTGGTCTTGTAGGAGCTGCATCTCTTGGTTTACAGTGTTTCTTTGGACTTCTCTATCTTGTGTTTCTTACCTAGAATGTCACCAGTATGTTGAGTTAAAAGAAAATATAAAAGCCATTCAGGAAGAAAAGGACAAATATTTTTGTTTGGCACAAATGTCTGGAGAAAGACTTTGAGTTAGATCCCCAGAATCCTACACAGGTTAATTCTAGTTCTCCTAAAAAGTGACAGCTGAAACCCTTGACAAATGCTGTATGTTTTAGCCAAAAAAAAAAACCAAAAACAAAACAAAACAAAAAAAAAAACAAACCAACAAAAAAACCCCACAACAAACCACCAACCCAAAACCCCTCCCAAACAAACGCAAAACTGTAATTTGTTAAAGCTGAAGCAGTGTGCTTCTAGCAGGTCTGGGAAGTAGACTAAAGATGTTCAAGAACCTTCTGACTCCTAGGACCCTATATAATTTTAGTATTTTACAAGTAGTTTTTCATTCATGACTTACGTTTTTATAAATATTCTTATTGATTTGAAGAAACCTTGGGAGGTGTGGGTAAAGAATAGGAAAGGTCTGCTGAGTAGAAGGCTTAGGCCAGGCAAGTTGGTCTGGTTTGTTTAAATTTTTGCTTAAATTTAATCTTTAAAAGCTGTAGAAGGATACGGCCAGGATACTGCACTGGATTTGGGATATCACTTTTCTGAACTACGTTTGAAAGATTCTCTTATTTTTGGTGTGAGTTACCATATTCCAGAAGTGTGATGTGGAAATGTGGCTTTCCTAATGCATCTGATTTACTTCCTTATTTTCTTTGGTTGATATCAGAAGTAAACTTGTCTGTTCATTTTTTTCCAGTTAGACTGAAACGTGATGTTGAGCATGTTTTGTCATGTGTGTTCTTGTTTTATTACAGATGGGCTGAAGCCAGATACCAAGATGCTTCTTGCTGTTGCTGCCAAGAAGAAATCTAAGGCGGGGAAGGTGGATGCAACCAAAGAGGATGAAAGCAGCAAGAATGATTCAGCCCAACCTGTTACCATCTCTCTTCTCTTTAAAAGATATGTCTTTGACACACAGAAGAAAATGATTCAATCTTGAGAAAGCAAGAGAGATGTCTGATTGCACCTGAAAGACCAGACTCTGAAATGAATTCAGGTGGAATGTGTTTCTTGTCTGAATGCATTAGACCTGTTCCTTCCTCACAAACGGAGCCTGCAAGCTCCTGCTGACTATGTGCCTCCTTCCAAAATCTCTGCAGTCTGGTTTTGTTCTGTTAGAATCTGCTTATTTTGTCATTTTTGTGGTGTGAATCTTTACAGCCTCTCAGAGAATGTCACCTGCTGGATGAGCACATTCGGGTGTGCGTTCTAATAGCATTGTTTTTCTGGAGATTTGAAGTTTCTCTTAATTTAAAAGTTTGCTACCAACATTAATCTAAATCTAGTCAAGATGTGAATTTCATGTGACCCACAAAGTGTAGATGATTAGTCTAGGTTTACTTCCCCAAGCAAAGTGGGGGACAGAAAGCACACAATATAATAGGTGAAACCTAAAATGAGTGTTTCACATTCCTTCAGCTGCAACTCTGTAAGATGCTATCTGTGAGATGGTATGGATCTTTTTCATAAATATGATTTTTATCTAAAAATGTTTTTCATATTAAACATAATGATGCATGTGACTGAGAGTCTTAATTGTTCTGTCTGCTGTTCCAAAGGTTCAGAACCTATCTTCAGTGACATTTTATATAGCTTTTCTGAATTTCCTGCCTGTTCTGTGGTGAATCCTACTCCAGAATTGTTTTCTTTTTTTTTGTAAACAAACTATCTTTTGTGTGTGAAAGAAAGTTGCCTCTGGAAATAGTCAGGGGGCATTATTTCATTAAAATAATGATAAAAGATTGCAGTATAACTCTTGTAAAATTAATATCTCCAAGATGCTTTAGAAACCATTAGCTGTTTAATAGGGATTTCATGGCTGCTTTAGTTCTTCCTCTCAATTTCATGTCCTAAGCTTATAAAAAGGAGAGCACTGATAATGTCCCTTCATTATTTACAAAGCATAGGACACCTTAACACGAAAATGAACAACAATTCCACAGGTAAGAAAGCTGCAGTCTGGAACAGAAATTGGACTCAGGCTTGGCAGCATGGGAAATGTTAGTTCTGCCTTTTGAACAAAAAATACTTCTGCTTGTTGATGTTAAGTAGCAGCCTGTGACCCATTTGCTGAAGCCAGGCATAGAAGATGACCACATGTGTAATGTAAATGCATTAGCTGCACATGGAAGTAAATAACTGTAATAGATTGCTACACTCATTCTTATTAATAATACAATAATACAATTAATAACACTCAAAGTGTTATTAATCAAGTATCCATTGATGGGCGTGAGTCCATCATGCTAATGTGATCCTGTTTTTTTCAGTCTTTTTCTTTTCCTTTTCAATTTCTGGATGACCAAAGTGGATACAAATGGCAAAAATATCAGCTATTGTAGGGTATTTACGGCTGGACAGTTGTGAGACAGGGCGAGTTTGGTGTCTAAACTAGGTTGATGGTGCCCCTTTAAATCAGAACAGAATTAGTGCTTTGTGGAATAATCCCAAACAGTTTCTGCTGAGTGAGTCCCAGCAAAGCTTTAGCACATCCCTTAAGATTATGGGGTATGCTTTCAGTGTGATCCCAGAGGAATTAGGCAGGCAACTTCAGCTATGGCTTAATGTGACTTGTGCTGCCAGCCTTGCTGGAAAATGTATCCTTCTATAATGAAAAAAATGCATTTCACACCCCTGTCACCTCTCCTTCCCCATTTCTCTCCTCTTCCCAGACACCCCCAAAGGCAGTCTTTGGAAAGAATATTTATTGTTATCTTTCTTCTAAGCCTTTATCAAATCCTGTTTTGTACCCTGCACTGTTACCTCTGCTTAAGATACTGCTGTGATGGAAGCTAGAGAAACAGATGACATAGAAGGAACGCTGTTAGTGCCATTCCAGGTTAGTCTAAGAATTATTGGTATAAAAAAATCTCCTCATTTAAAAAAAAACATAGTGACTCATTAAGGAACTTGCATTTTTATCTGTATAGTTCTAATGTTCTTGCTGGATTTTAAATGGGTCACTGAATTCTGCCAAGTCTGCTTGGAGTTTTGGAAAGAAAAGGGCAGTCGTCAGGAGAGGTGGCCTGCTGTGGGATATTGTTGGCTACTCCAGAGTTGTTAGCCTTGCACTCACAGGGTTTTGTCTTTCTCATTCCTATGGCAGTTTTGAATAGTTCTGGAGAGGAGGCTGTTAAATAGTGGTATATATTTTTACAAAGCACGGTCTGATTAATGTTTTCCCCTCTACACTGTGTATTGCCTGTAGCAGGATCAGTGAGTCAGTTGTTATGGAACTTGATTTATTTCAAAACTCATTAGTCCTGAATACTTAGTTTTGCAGCCCTTTGCTTGGCTGAAAGGTCTTACAGCACTGATGTCCCATGGTTTGTCTGCTTGGGGTGCTCCAAGGGAGGGAGCAGCAACAGCTTCCAGAGTTGGACCTTCATTCCTTTCCCATCCAGTCTCCTGTAATAAACTTTTAAAAATCTTTCCTTCATCTTCTGTCTCATTTCCAGACTAGCATACTAACTCAGCATCTTTCTTCCATCATCAGTCCAAGACCTAACCTCCTCCTCCTCAGTGCTTTTATTTCCCATCTTTGCTTGTTGCTTCTCCTTGTTCTGGCTCTGCTCTTTCCTCTGGAGAAGGAGATGTAAATCTGGGTGCTGGCAGGGCTCCCACAGCAGGTGTTGGGAGCCCAGGATGCTGGGGAAGGCTCTTGCCCTGCAGCTTATGCTAGCTCCTGTGTGCGGTGAGTAACTGCCTGTGTTCAGGCACTTAGGCTGTGACTTGGGCAGAGTCTTGTGGACAGAGATACTACTGACCTAGTAGGAGCAGGCTCTGCAGAGGCATGCATACCATGCCTCATGTGAGTCCTTCACCCACCACCATATCCTGGCCTTGTGCTTTCTAATCTTCTGTGCAAAGCCCCCGTTGCAAAGCCTCGTCCTTTTATTTTGCTCCCCTAGCAGAGGTTTGTGTAGGACAGGCAGCCAGAGAGGTAACTGTTGAAGACTGGGGTTTGGGTTTTTTTTGTGCGTTCTTCCCCCTTTTTAATTCCAAAATGAGAACTTAAGTGTGCCCAAGAACTTTGATTATAATATGCTATTACTGCAGATCTCTGGCTGCTGTCCTGAGGCTGTTGGATACACATTCGAAAAAAGGGTGAAATGGTGGAACAAAATGATTATGGGAAAATCAAAGCCTTTAAAGACATTTGTAGGATGAACAGATGTTCAAACATTCTTTTATTTGGTTTCCAGACAGACGTAGAGACTTTCCTTTCATCCTCATAATCAGTGCATTATGCTGTAATTTGTAAAAATGGCATTAAAAAAATATTAACAGGGTCATATTGTGATCTACTGACTCTGTGTCATTAAGCCGTGAAGTTAAGAACGGCAACTGGGAACAGGGGTTAAATGTTGCAGAACGTACTGTGCTTGCATATATTGTCAGACTGTATTATAATGAATCCAAAATGGAATAAAGATGTAAGGAGGGTTTTTTAATACTACTAAGGTTGTCAGTGTTACAAAACTAGAAATTATTATGGCTGTGCAGATGTTCGGTGAGTAATACATCTTTGGGTTGTGGGGAGAGCAGCAGTGAGGAAAGCTTTGTTTTTGCAAGCCTATTTTCTGCTTTTCCTTGGAATTTTTTTTGGGACTTCAGTGTGGCTTACGATACTGCCAGAGGTCTCGAGCTGTGAGGGTCAAAGCATGCAATCGTGGTAGCCAGGATTCAGTAGGTGGCATCCTTTACTTGGAATCAAAACTAAATCTCTCCACCTAAAAAAGGGGTATGTGCTGCCATTGATAATGAAGATTTTTGAGTCAAGCTTGCAACCTATTTCTCGAAGAACAGTTTCTGTTAAAAACTACAGTGCATTTAATGACTGGGGCAGAGCCGTTAACTCCAATCTGTTGACCAAACCCTAAAGTACCAGTGTCCTTTCTGGGTGTGTTTCTGGCTCTTTTCTTCAAATTTTACCAATTGTGCAAGTACCTGACAATGGAAAAATGAGCCATCTGCACTAGCGGAGTTCTTGGCGTGTACGAGACATCTCTTTCTGGGCAGTAGGCACTTTACTTGCTTGTTGGAGCTTTGTAGTTGAACAGCCACAGGGTGGCAGAGCAAAAGTGAGAGCCCGGTACGATGAGGAGTTGGAATGATGCAGTTATGTCCTAGAGCAGCCATGTTCCATCTCAGGACTGTCTGTGTCTCACTGCTGGGAGAGCAGCTCTGTATTTGCATCTGTAAAGTGCTCTGGGATCTTGTGAAATGAAGGATGAAAGGCAGCAGAGGAATGCTACAGTATTAGCAGTTTCAAAAACTCTGTGTTTTCCTTTTAGTTTAATATCCCTAGTGAGCTAGAAAGCTTGCTATTTACAAACACAGGAGTTTTAAATGAACTTACTGAGGGTACAAGTAGCATAATTTTAAGACTGAGCCTAGCACAGGGAGCTAACATGCCAAGCCTGGGAGAAGGGGAAGAACTGTATGACTACAGTGTGGTGAGGCCAGTCTTTCTAGCTGATGGTCATCCAGAAGAAATTCAAGGGTTTGGGGAGGTTGTGTTTTAGTAGCAAGGTATTGGAGAAAGGGGAGTAGTCTTCTGGGATTCGCCACAAATTCTCCTGCTGTTCTGTGCAAAAACAGGTTAAAAACGTAATTTGATATAGTTGTGGCTCCACTGTAGATAATACATAAGAGGGGAAAAAATATGGTGGGTCTGTTTATTTCCTGTTGCCAATGCCAGAATATGGAGTCTTTCCCATATCTGCTGCTGTGCGTGCAGTGCTGTTTTTAGTTCCAGTTGTTAGTGGACTTAAGAGTTTAGGATAGAATGGGGTTTTCGTTCCTCAGTAAGTATTACAGTTCTCTTTTTTTTTTTTTTTTTTTTTTTTTTTTTTTTTTTTTTTTGTCTGATATGGGTGCTTTTCTGAGATGGTGTAATTAGTCTGCAAGACTCATATATTCTTACCCACCCCTCCC